CCTATCTCAGCGGTCTGTGAGGTGACCACTGCGGTGCTCTCTTCAATCTGATGGGCCCAGTGCTTGTCTAGTTCCTCTCAGTTCTTCTCAGCCAGCTTGTATTGGCTTCCTGACTGTACATTATAAATCTCCCAGAAGGGCACTATTAGGCAAGTCTTCTGTGGAGAATCAAATTAAAGTTCCATAGAACACATTTGTATAGGACATTAGAAAGCAAAAGGGAATTTCACCCACTTTTAATGACTTCTAATTAAAAAAAAATACACCATCATCACCAGAAACAATTTCTCCTATAGTCTTTCCTTACTTTTTGGACTCCTTTCAGCTAAAAATGGACAAACTATGGGAGGACCAACGACTTCCAATCACAATATAATTTTCCCTGGTGTAAGTAAGTCACCTAAACTGTGCTTTCTTTTTCTTCACCCATCAGTAGAAAGAGATTAAAGCATATCAGCACCCTCCTATCCTATCCGTACCATTTTTCCAGCAAGCAGAACACACACACACACACACACACACACACACTCACCTTCTAGGTGTCTAACCAATGCAAGTCAAAACCCAATTAATCGATTGCATGTAATAGGTTTACACTGTGCACATGTAAATGGTAGAAGGAGGTGGAACAATAGAAAAAGCGCCAGGATTAGAAACAAGGAAAATAGTGCATCTCCAGGAGACAGGAAGAATTTGCTTAGCTTGTAAGTAAGACTTCAAACAAAATTACATTTACCAAGCACAGAGTAGACTCTTCATAAATGAAGAATGAATAACAACCAAATAAACTAATGAGTAAAAGGCCTGGGAGTTTTGTGTCACGTGCAAAACAATTGTTTGACTTTTTAAAAAAAGTATGTGCAATGGTGTCTGTTGGTCATGGTAGCAGCATTATTTTTAGCATGACAAAGTGTATTTTCTCATTTGCTTTGCACAGCAACCCTGTGAAAGAGGACAAGAGGGTATAATTACCCCCATCGTGGTAGTATCCCTACTTTACCAATTTGCCAGCTGTTCGGCACCAGGCACTGCACAGAGCTCTGGGGTGAACAGAACAGCCCTGACCTCTGGCCTCCCGGAGCACAGTCAAATGCGGAAGGCAGATGTCCCACAAAAGAGGAAGAGCAAATCTCAGAAGGTTAGCAGGGGCACAAAGAGGCCCATGAACAAGGAAACAGAATCCCCGAGGGATCAAGTGGTTTGCACAGGGACACGTGGTGGCTGGTTGGGTTGCAGAGATACAGCAAAGCCCACATGCTCACGCTCTGGACAGAACACAAGCAGAGCAAGGAAGCAATGATCACAGACTCTCTTCTCTCGCCAGGTCCCAGCATCCTGGGCACAATGTTTAAAGTGAGATGGTGACAGATGAGGAGCTGCAGACTGAAAGGTTGCAAGCCATGTCTTCTAGGGAGCAGGCAGAAAACTGGGTCTTTTTAGTCTAAAAAGAATAGTGGAATGAGTGCCAAGGTATGTTCATGGCGTTCAACTAAAGGATTATCATGTGACAAAGGGACCTGCTTTTAGACAGAGGAGCTGAAGAACACAGGATCAGTCCAGGTGCTGTGAAAGGCAGATGGTCAACTGAGGTTCCAAAGTGGCGAGAGAAGCCAGAATCCCTAAGGGGCCAGCCTTGCAGACACGCTTGGGAAGACTTGAAAGCGTTGTAGTTCAGGGTATGAACTCTGTGTCAGGCCAATGTGATTCAAAACAAGCCTCCTGCCATGACCACCATCACTTATTAGCTGAGTTTCCTTGGATAAATTCCTTAATCTCTCTGAGTGCCAGCTTTCTTACCTGCAATGGTAGATACTAGTAGTACCTGTCTCAGATATTGCTTATAGGATTAGTAAGGAAACCTGTTTCATTCAGTGCAGCCATGGGTAAATACCAATTAAATGGTTGAATATCCACTTAATGAGTGGATTCTGAATGGATGAAGGATTCAATAAGCAGTATTAGGAGTAGCAGCCAGGGCAGTGCCCAACCAGAACACCCCCCTCACCTGTAGGTCTGAGAAGGAACCGAGGGAATGCACTATTGACCCTGGCGAGGTGTGCAAACAGATGGCGTTTCTACGAACAAGATCAATTCCTGTGCTGGGGGGAGCTTGGACCAAAGGTTCTCAACAATCCCTTCCAATTCTTAAATTCCATGAGGACAAGAATTGTCAAATGGTCCGATTGTACAAGTCAGGAAATTTCTTTCCTTCAGGGCAGCAAGAAAGGTCAAAGAACTGGAATCATGAAGCTGTTTCATTCTAGAAAGGAAATGAGAAGTCCATCTCCCAATCCGAACCCTGGCTCGTTATTTACAAAAGCATAAAAGTGCTTTGTTTTTGTACCTTTTTCTAAAAGAACATGGGAAACTATCTCTAAAATTCCCAGAATGTACAAATAAGATTTCTTTTGTCTGTGTGTTTTTTCCCAAGCCTTCCCAAGGAAATATACTCAAGAGTTGTATGAATCTGCAGGATCTGAATTACGGTCTTTTACAGTATTTGGTTGTCTTCCAGTTCTGCGTTGGTGTGAAAAACAGAAACCCCTTGTGCTGACCGAGATGTGGACATAAGTTTTCAGACTGCTCCACCTTCTGGTCAAATATGGAAACTAATGTGGCAGAGTCTGCTGTTAGGGCAGCCCAAGTCCGAGCCCGTCTCTTTCCCCAGAATTTAATCAGGGTCTCTTGAGACCCGACAGCTTGAAGTGCATTGCAATTACACTACAGAACAGTTTCAAAAGTTCAGTGCTTACTTATTTGGAAGCACATATTCCTACCAAAGCGCGGTGACTCCTATGCTCTCTGGAAAGGGGCCGCAAATGAGGACTTTTTCTAAAAGTTCTGAGCTGCCAGTGCCGTCAGATGGATAAGCCGTTTGGGTTTGTTATTGTTGTTGTTGTTGTTGTTGTTGTTGTTCTTGTTGTTTCCCGTGACTCTGATAAAGAGAGACTGTGAGAGGAAGAGAGAGAACCCAGCTCTGGCACCCCAGTCTACTTACTACGACTGAAGGTTGACCAGGGATGTGAAGGAGACATTCTAGGCAAACCCTGCTGTTTATCGCCATGAGCTCTGGGCCCAGAGCCCTGGGAGGAACACTTTCTGCATATAAGCCTCCAGGACCCCGTTTACGCCTGTGCACTGAGCCCACAGACAGAATACTGAGTGAGCTCCTTGGACCCACATCTTAATCTAAGCCAATATCTGAAGGGAAAGAAGAGGCAAAGGAAAAAAGAACCCAGGTTAAAGAGTCCCCAAAATAACAAAATTTCTTCCTGGAGCTTGAAAATTCGGGATTAACTCGCTCCTTCAGGCCCTCTCAGGGTGGAATAGAGGCGAAAGGAGGAAGGCTTGCCCAGGAGGGAGACACCCCCCTGTCTACCAGGCACCTAAGCTTTATGAAAGAACAAATCCTTAAGGAGAGGACAAGCCCAAAGCTCTGCATCCCAACCGAAGGGCTCCAATGCCCGGCCCAGTCTCATCTGCAGCTTCAACCCATCTCTGGAACCCTGGGTGCCTGAAAACGGCCTCTAGTCAGTGGACCTCTTCCTCTCTCTCTCCCCCCCCCAATTGAATGTATTAGGGTGGCACTGGTTAATAAAATTATACAGGTGTCAGGTGTACAATTCTACAATACATCTCTGTATATCGCGTTGTGTGTGCACCACCCCAAGTTGTCTCTTCCATCACCACTTATGCCCCTTTCACCCTCCTCGACCTCCCCCACCCCATTCAGCGGCCCTCTTGACAACAGGGTGGAGGACAGCAGCATGCTGGGACAGTCTCCCTTCTTTCCTGGGACGGGCAGCTTCCACCAGGACAAAATTCGCCCGCTCGCACTGCGTCCGACCTCGGTCAGCCTTGTGATGCACACTGACTGCTAGTGCTGCCCCTAGGCGGCGCCCTTCCGACAGTCGAAGCGCAGCGACTGGAGGTTCGGTCCGCAGTGAGACACAGGCTCCCAAACTGACTCAGGCTTTCTGAGAAACACATACACTTTCAAAAATAGTAGGAAAAATAGCAGCCTGAATTGTTTATTCCCTATGAAACACATCAAAGATGGTTTGAAAAGGGAGCATGATGTGAAGACATATTCGTGCATAGGCCGAACTATATACCTGAGTTGTGGGTCCTTGGGCTGGGTCCGTGAACTGCTTCACAAAGTTGTATGTGAAAACCTCAGTTTGTAGTTTTGCTTTTTTCTGGAATGGATAACTACCAGGAACACTTGGTCTTAAGGAACAGGTTGAAATAATGCTACATTTCCCCAAGAATGTTTCCCTCCTGATGCTTAGGAAAAAGACATCTGAACTCAAACAAGTAGGTGAAACACTGTTACATCTGCCTTCGAGGAGATTCACAAGGTACATGAGTTTATGAAGACTCTGAGATATTTACCCTGGTGTGGCTCAGTGGATTGAGTGCGGGCCTGCAAACAGAAACATCACGGATTCGATTCCCAGTCAGGGCAAATGCATGGGTTGCAGGCCAGGTCCCCAGTGGGGGGCATGCAAGAAGCAATCACACATGGATGTTTCTCTCCCTCTCTTTCTCCTTCCCTTCACCTCTCTCTAAAAAAAAAACAAATAAAATCTTTAAAAAAAGAATCTGAGACATTTGATTGAAACGAAGGAACATTTTTTAACAAACTGAATGTACTTCAATCCATTTTCACACTGCCTTGGCCAAGGAGTACTCACATACAGGAACATCTAACTGGATCTTCAGGGACCAGCGCCCTAAGGAACAGATCGCAGGAAACTTGGCCCTTCAACAAATGGGTGTGCGAGATTTCTGTTACTGTTGATTTCCCAGAACCAAGAGAGACAGACTCAATAGGGGGGCGGTGCATGGTTGCTAAGTGACTGGGAAAACAACACTGAGGCTGGAGCACAGAGAGGAGAGACTGAACCAATAGGGCCTTGAGCTGCTGAGGGCCCATCTATATCATCTCCTTAAGCCTGGAGGGTAATAAGGATCCAACTTCCAGGAAATGACAGCGTGGCTCGTTGTTATGACAACAGCAACAACAAAACCATCTTCCCCATAAACCACTTAGGCAGTGAATCCACCCAGTGTTCTCTGAGGAGCTGGCTTCTAACGTGAGTACTGGAATATTCTGCCTCCACCAAATCTCGTGGAATTCTTGCTCTATGTCTCACTCTTGCAAAAATGATTAGATCTCTGTTTACTCTCTATAAAAAGAGACTGCAAGGACTGGGGTCACATGTAAAGGCCCCTCCAGCTCTAAGAGTTCCTAACGCTCCCAAACAGCAAAAAGGAAATCCATCATGCCCCCCCCTTTCGGATGCCTCCCTAGCATTTTAAATTTGCAAGGAACCTCTTTGTATGTTTTTCATACCAAACATAACTACCCGTTATTTCTGGGTTACTGTCCCAGGGCACTGCGCATTGTGGTTCGGGGGGAGGGGGAGGAGGAAGCGTGTGCCATAATTGTCTGGGGATTCGCAGATGGCTTTCTCTGACTGCAGCTTGCTGAGCATTAAGCAAACCTCCCCGGAGAAATGTGATTTGCTTTGCTTCCCAAGGGTAATAAATCACAGACAGGCCACATTTCCCCTTCCACCTGACCTTTGTCTCCCACAGAGAATTTCTCTGCGGCGACTCGGTTCTCTTCAGGAAGTTTTGTCCATGATAATGACCGAAGTTCCAGGGGAAAAGGTATTAAGCACCATGCCCTGAAAATCTGCTGTCCTGGTTCTGAGTTTCTCAAACACTTGCAGTCGCTCTGAAAGCCATCAGTGGCCCATGGGTGGAGACTTGTCCTATGCAGCTAGGGAGCAAGGGGGAATAAAAAGGCCAAGTTCAAAGATGTTACCTTGGACCCCCTATTGAAGAACATGCATTAGCATCTATAACTCTGTGAATCTTGTAAGATTCTGTATTCAAGGCCCTTGTGCACATTTCCGAAGGTGTCCCCGCCAATCTGATGGAGGCCCCACCTACCTCCAGGGACAAGTACAACCACAGATACTCACTCTAAAGGGTGGATGTGCTGGTTCACCTGACCATACCCCTGCCATTCTGGCCATCACTCGTCTTCTTCTAGTTCCTTCCTACGATTGTGGTGAAGAGAAAAGCCTCCAAGGAGTCAGACCTGAGTCGTTTGCTGTGCGTGGAGGCAAAGTTTGTTTTCCTCTCGAGAATCCTGAAGAAACCCCAGCGGTGGAACGCTTGAGGAGGCCCTCTGGCACAGGTCTCCCAAAGTGAATTGGCCATGTCATTCTCCCTAGAATTTCAGTTCTCCATGAGTTCCAGAAGGCTTTGTCTCACCCCCTGGGCTCTAAGCACAGAAACATGCGTAGTTCCTTTTCATCGAGGTATTCTCCTTCGAATGTGCATGTAACCCTTTGCTGGCATTGAGTATGAGGCAGGCATCCTAAAAGAGGAAAACTCTGGTCCAGGGATGGGGCGGGCAATACGCAGCCGGAAATGGAGAGTGTGGTAGTCGCTTGGCCTTTGGAGACCTGGAATTCACAACTCTCCCTTGAAAACCCCCTTCATCTTACAGGCCTCTCTGCCTTTTCTCCCCATCTTCATTCACCTCATTCTTTCCTAACATGAACTCTCAGCTCAGGCCCCAGGAAGCTAATTCTAGCAATAGCCAAGTGTAATATCAATGAATCCTTCTTTCCATTGGACACCTGTGGCCATTACGGAGCCCAGAAGTTTTTCTTAATTTCTGCCCTCCTTGGATTTAGCTATTTTGCTTTATCGACGTGCTTGAAATAGTAAAAGCATTTTCAGCAAGGAGAAACAGTGCCCTCCACAGGACACATCAGTCTCGGGCTTTTACAGGCAACCATTAACAAGCACGGCATTTTTTTTTAAATAGATTATTCATTCTTCTTTTACTTAAGCTTAATACAGCCAGTGACAAGCTTGGTGACTAGAATCACTTCTGCACACATTGTCAAGTATAAAAGGAGACAGGATGTCAAGAAAAAAATTTAAACAAGGTCTGACAAATAGAGAAAGGTCCAAAATGGAGCAAAAGAAGGGAATTGAAAGCAAAGGTACGTGGAATCCTCAGGTTCAAAACGAGAGGCAGACACACAAGTCCGTGCCCCGCATCTCCGATGGTCTGTCTGGGCCTCCCTCAGGCCTGCCTGGGGCTATGCTAACAACCACAGCCGTCAAATACACCATCACTTTTCAAAGTTTTAATCATTCTTTAAAACACTTCAAGTAACTGTTAATGGTAATATGTGTTGTGCATATCCTTTCAGTTGAGTAAAGTCAAAGGATCTCTTCGGTACTGAATGTGGTGCCCTCCTAAAATTCATCTGTTAACTCCTAGTGCCCAAGTAGGAGGTGGGAGCTTCCAGAGGTGATTATGTCGCCAGGGTGGAGCCAGCATGAGTGGGATTGGTGCCCTTCTGAGGGAGACCTCGGCCAGCGCCCTTGCCCCTCTGCTTTGTGAAGACACACAGCAAGAAGATGATGATCTGTGAATTGGGAAGAGGGGCCTTGCCACATGCTGAATGGTCTGATGCCTTGGTCTTGGATTTCCCAGCCTCCAGACTGTGAGAAATACATTTCTGGTGTTTATAAGCCACCCGGTCTGTGGTGGACTGTGATAGCAAACTCAGTGGTTCAGGACAGAAGTATCTCAGTAACGGACATGAAAGGAAGCCCTAAACCAACCCCTGTCTGCACAGCAGCAGCAGTTCAAATTACAGGCACATTAGCTATACGCACACTCTTTCCAATCGCCATCCTGGCTAGTCCTTCATCCAGGAAGGCATAGTTTCAGAAACATTGATTTCCACAGTATCTGTGGGTGTATGTGCATTAGTAATAATTTAAACACACTCATTACTACGGGCAGTCCAGAAAGCTATGAAGGCCATGCACACTGAAACCTATTAAACGGCATTATATGTCATCATCCTGGAAACCTGGGAGAATTTTAAGTAGCAGATCATCAAAATTCTCATCAACTAGACGACAATTCTACCCACGTGAAAAAAAAAGTAATGCACAGTTAAGTTTAGGAAAGACTGAAATATCTAGCGTATTGACTTGCTGACCTGCCAGAACAAAGCTCCATGGGCTGGGTGGTGCAACAGAAGGTTATTTGCTCACAATTCCCGACGCCAGGAATCCCAGACCAAGGTGTCGGGGCAACCGAGAGTTTACTCTCAGACCTGTTTCTGGGAACTTAGAGTTCTCTTCGAGGGGCCTTTCCCCTCCTTCTCTTTTTAGAAGGACACCAGTCCAGTTAAATTAGGACCCACCCTGATGACCTCATTTTAACTTAATCACCTCTTACAAGATCTTATCTCTGGGTACAGTCATGTGGTGGCGTCTGGGTTTGGACTTCAATGTAGGAATGCAACCGGGACACAACCAACTAATGGGCTAATGTGCCTCACCCAGTTGGTTCAAGGCCTTAAGAGCAAAAACCGAGGTTTCCTGGAGATGCAGAAATGTTGCCTCCAGATGGTCACTTTAACTCCTGCCTGAACTTGCAGCCTACCCATTTGGGACTGGTCAGATTCCACAACCTCACAAAGCCAGTTCCTTAAAATGAATCTCTTGATGGTATGCATATACACCCTGTTGGTTCTGTTTCTCTGGAGAACCCTGACCGATGCACTACCTTTTGCTAAAAGCAATTCAGGATGTCACAGAGGTATTCCGGGCCTTACTGTATTGCTTCGTGCAAAAGGAAACAAGCCCCACTCATTCCATCTCAGAGCTGCAAATCAGCCAAGTGGGGTCTGCAGCACTCACACTGAACTCCAGGTGGCGCCCGTGCTCTACTCAAAAGAGGTTTCCTGATGCAGGCCCCGCCTCACTGGCTTTTTAACTCGGACTTCTAGACAACGCAGTGACTCAGCAGTGCCAAGGAGGAAGCGTAAAATTTGGACAAAGGATACTGCCTACATGCCCCATGCACACAAGCTTGCCATCACAAAAATCACTTTTTGAGGCGTGCTTTCTTGGAAGTCCCGTGTCTTTGGTGGGATTTAGCATGCTCTGACCAAATTAGTCACTTGAGCAGTCTCAAAAAGCCCCCAATAAATAGGAACACCCCTGGGCTAATAGGAAAAGGGGCACTGTTGTGCTTGAAGGTTGTCTGGCCAATGTGTCGTGTTTCTGTCTGTGACCTAAAAGAGGTCACCTGTCCATTGTTCTAGGTTTTCTTTCTTTTCAAGTCTCCAGGGTTGGCTGGCTTAGGGAGGGGCGCACACAGGGCCTGACCCACCCGGACCCCGGGGTGGCAGCTGCCCACAGTCCTGGCGGAGCAGACTCTCCCTCTGTGCCTGTTCCGCAAACCCCTCTGTTAACCCTGCCCGTGGTCAAGACCCGACCCTGTCATTAGGCGGTGTACCCGACCACAAGCTCAAAACATTTGAACGGCATGGGCTTGTTGAGTCCTTGTAATATTTTGTAAGAAAATTGGAGAAGATTTTACTTTTTAAATTTCTACTTTGTTCATAGGAAGCAGAGCCAGCTATGCTGAGTGACCCTGAGAAGGTCACCCAGCGATTCAGAGTCAGAGTCAGGGGCACTTGGCCTTCGGTCAGGGGGGCGGCTCTTCTGAGTCTCTGCCACAAAAGCTCTCCCTCTCCCCCGCACCTCGCCCCCCTCCTCCCGCCACCACAACCATCATCCTTTCCTTGAACGTAGGCATTTGTTTGGCTCTTCTGTAGAGTATGCACATTCACATAAGGACACAAATCCATGTCGTGTTTCGGTAGCTTTAGCCATGTGCCCACGATGTTGTGTGGCTGGTGTGACCTAAAGTAAGGAGAAGCATCACCTACCTTTTTTACATTAGAACCTGACTGTTAGAATACACACACAGTCTCCTTCTTCGAGATACACGCTTCAGGACAGCAGATGAGAAGCCCTGAGAAATCCTGTCGAAAACAGTTTACTTCTATTTAACCACATATTTTTCAAACTTGCTTGAATGTACTTGACCTTTCCCCACAGGAGCCCCTGGAATATCATTTGGAAATGCTGGATAAAACTATCATCTCTTTGTGGGATGGGGTTGAGTGCGTAGGCAACAACCCCCACTTGCTATGCTGAGAAATTCCGGAGTTTACAGAGTTAGTCTTAGAGT